TATGACATTTTATCACAAATTAAAACCAGGGCCAAAGAAGAAAGAAAAACAAGGGTTGGGGACAAAGTAGAGTCAGGGTCAGGCAGAAATGCGCATCAAAATATGCAAGCGGGCCATGCACTGGCCCTGAGACTTTCAGCAGTCTATGTGGAAAGGGAAACCTGGGATTAAGGCCCACTCACCTGAATTTCTGTTTTAACAAGTCCTGGCCTGTTATTTGCAAATGGGCCAAGTTAGCCAATTAACCCGGTTGCAGAGGAAACCTACTTACTTTATGGGTTCGGGCAGAGAATTGCAAGAACTGAATGTCCTTCATGTCAATATCTAATGCGCCAAGCCACTTCCGTCATTGTTTCCTTGTGTTCCAATGTTCTACTTTCACTGTCTGGACTGTTTGCTCTGTATCTCTCTCTGCATATCTTGCTTCACCACATTAGAGCCAGCTGGTCTGTGGGACAGTCCCACAGTCTGACAGAAATGGGGGCAGACACACACCGAGGCAGATGCTCCCCACTTCTTCATAAGCAGGGTTAGAATAATCATAACCCAGTGGAAACAAGTAATTCAAGAAAAAGAATTGCTGCAGGGTTTTAAAGTAAAGGGAAATTACGAAGTTGGTTGGAGATTTCACCAGATGTTTTCACAGATCTTGAAATAATCTGGCTAGAACTGGAATTCCGATTTTTTTCTCCCTCTATTTAAAGCTATAGGGAGCTGAGGAATTGGTTTGCAACAACAACAACAACAACAACAACGAGAAAGAAACAAATTAATTCATCACAGGTCCATTAAATGCCTTTGAAATAAAAGAGGTTTTGATAGATGCTGTGGGAAGAAAAAGTATAAGACACGGTTCTTGTGGTCTGAGAGACTAGGCGTAGGAAAATGTGCTGGTATATGATCAGGCAGGACATGAATCCTGGATAAATGGTATGGACGGTGAGTATATGGATTTTGAGGAGGATGAGGAAGCCACTTTTAGCTTGAATCACAGGGGAAGGAGATGGTTCTTGAAAAATGGGCCGGTTTTCCATCTCATTGATGGGAAAGGCATTCTAGTTGAAGTGAATAAAGTAATGAGATATCTCAAGGAAAGAAAATAGCAAAATAGCAAGCAGTGAAGCAAAATGGTGACCAGAGATTTCTGTTGGAAATAGTGATAAAGTTAGAAGAAATTGTGCAGTGTCCGAAGACCCATCTGCAAATTTTATACTCGACCCCACAAGCAGCAGGGAGTGTTGAACTTTGCAAGCAGAAGTGACATGATCAAAATTTCAAGAAGGCCCTTTGCGTCATTCTCCGGCCTCTTTCCTTTCCACTCACGTTATTCAAGCTGCTCAGTATCTTCCAGTGTCTAGAGCACAAATAGTTTTCTTTGCCTTCCAGACTGTGTAAAAACTTGCCTGAGAGACTCTGGGTTACTCCTGGCATCCTGGTCCATGGCCCACCCTATCATCTTTACTTTCTACCACAACAAACCCTTGTTCACTAATTTTGCAGTATGTTCTCAGGCTAGTTTACAGACTCCACCCCCATGGATTTATAAACTCCTTGAAGGTAGAGGCCACGGTCTGTCTGCTTACTATATACCCAGTGTCTCACGACATCTGGCAAACGATGTGCCTGCAACAAACATGCTGAATAGATAAACTCATCTGGAGGTGATTTACCAGATGAATCAATTCAGCAAAGAGACTGGGGAAAAAGGGAGCATTCATTCAACAGCTTCATACTTGAATGCCTACTAAATGCGCCAGGCTCTGTGAGAGGTGCTAAGGACACAAATAGGCAGATGCGATGCCATCCTCAGGGTGGCCAAATTCAAGGGGAAAATGCTGATGTGTAAATTGGACATCGTATTAGAACACACAAAGTGCTGTAAGAGGGATCAGCATAGTAACGTCACCAGGGAGGTAGTGAACGCCTCAACCACGAAGGCTTGAGCAGGTGCTTACCAGGAAGCTGTCTGAGCTGAGCCCTGAAATGTGATCAGAAGTTACCGCCTGTAGCACATGCCCAGGTGTGGAGTGGTCAAACACTACGGTGGTTTCTGGGACGTGTGACCAGGTTAATGCAGCCAGAACCATGGTTTTCTATTCACGTTGCATTTTGTCGGTCTGTCTGCCTAACTGTCTGTGTGTCTGCCTATTTTAGTCTTGTGGATTCTTATTTTATTCTTATTTTCTATGGTGGATTTTGTATCAAATACTGTACTGCAAATCATTCCAAAACATAGTGGTTTAAAGCAACAATGATCATTTATTGCCTCTCACTTATTCTTTGCGTCATGGATTCAGAGTAGCTTTCCTGGATGGTTTTGGCTCAGGTCTCTGATGGGGTTGCAGTCAGATGTCAGCTAGGCTGTGGTCCTGTCAATGTCACCTGGGGCTGAAGGGTCCACTTCCAAGGTGACTCACTCCACAAAGCTGGCAGGTTGGTGCTGTTTGTTTGTAGATAGCTTCTCCACAGCATGGAGTCTGGCGAGGAGGGGCGGAGTCCCTCCAGAGCTCATCACTTGACATGTTTAAAGGAACAATTTAATCCTTTCAAATATTGTGAAAGGCGACGATGCTGGACTAGAAGACAGGGACAGAACACAGGGGGAAAGATGATCTCAGTGTGAAGAAAACGGGTAGGAATAGAACTCTGAAAAGGAAATGGGCTGACTTAAAAGTGTATTCCTTGGTGCTGGAGATACATAAATAAATGTTGGAGGACTGAGAATGTTGGGGAGGGAGGGAGGTTGTTTGAATTTGAATCTCAGCTCCTTCTCTTGCTAGCTGTGTGACCCTCAGGCAAGTCACCTAGCCTCTCTACGCCTCAGTTTTCTCATCTATAAAATGGTATTTAGCTCAGTGGGCTAATCCACAACTGCCATATGACAAGATCCTGTTTTACAAGATGGAAGATTTATTATTAATATGTTGAGAGAATTCAACTGTAGCTGACATATGATGTAGAAGGTTTTTGGGTTTTGGTGTTTGTTGTTGTTGCTAGCTATTTAACAAATTGTCATTATAATGAATCGTTCTGTTAGCCGACTACCTGAGGGGAAGTAAGACATTCTCTTTGGATAAGGAAATGGTGTATTTATGCAGATTTCTTTCAAATACTTTGATAGAATAAGATAACAAGTACAATATATTTTAGCTTTATTTGGTAATTATAAAATGTAGAATGGAATGATTTACTAAACATTGGATCCTTTATTTTGTTATATTATGTTCTACTTAACTCATCTATAATAATTTAGCTAATTATAAAACATCCCTTGTTCACACTCTGGAAAGTATAGGCTGTTTGCACTATGCTCAGCTTTACTCTGGTACAAGAAACAATTTTCAGGATTTTCCCAATTACAGGCAAATACTGGTAAATGAAACTATTTGAATGTTGATAACTTGACAATTTATTATATAAATAATTACCAGTGTATATTGTAAATGGGGTATGCTCAAGTTGTAGTTGATGGTGCAAATTTTACTTTTCTTTTGGTAAATTCTGCAATATGTTTTCCTGACTTTTTAAATGATTGAATAATCATGATGTTCAGATTAATTAGAAGTGATCGAATCTTCTTTACCTTTATATTCCTAACACCTGGCAAACAGTGTGTATGTTTGGTAAATGTTGAAGAATGATTGAATGAATGAATTGAATGAATGAACAAATGATGACTCATTCTCAGTTTGGGGTTCCACCCTATACCAGAGTGTTCTAGAAGGATCTTGAAACTCCATTTTGGTTGCATATTCGAATCACCTCAGAAGCTTTCAAATCTCCTAATGCCCAGACCTTGCCCAGACCTGATCCCCAGTACTGTTTGAGGTGCCTGGGATATAGCACTGAACAGAAGCAGTCAGTTCCTGCTCATGGCCAGCTGACACTTAAGAAAGGAGACTGAAAATACATAAATAATTGTAAGATATAGCAGGCGGCAAGACAAGCTATGAAGAAAAATGAAGCAGCCTAAGGTAGAGAGAATAAAAGTCAAAAGTGTTTAAATCTTGGAAAACCCCTACATTTGACATAACTATCATGTTAATTATTGGTTTGGGAAAAACTTGTTCCCTTCATCCTGTCTCTCCCCACTCTCTTTTTGTTACTTTCTTTATTATTGCTGAATTGTTATCCACATGAACTCTGTGCTTCTATTTCTGTAGCTTCCAGCCATCAACTTCGATAGTGCCCAAAATAGCATGACGAAGTCTGAGCCCACCATCAAGGCAGGTGGACACAGAGCTCGAGGTCAGTGGCATGAGTCCACAGAAGCTGTTGAACTTGAAAATTTTAGGTAAGAAATCCAGTATCTCCCTTGCTTTTAGCATCCTATTCTAATTAGCTTAAAGCGTTGTTTAAGTTTAGCACAGGAGCTAAAATTTAAAGCCCATTTCAGAATTTACCATGGGATTCTTAATTTAATCATTTTAGTTAGTGCTTAAATCATTCCCAGAAATAGTGTGTAAATAACAGGCTTAGTGGCTGCAGCTGAAACTGATCTGAGAATTTCAGGATACTTGCTGACATACCTTTGGCATTTGCTCCACGAGGAAGTGATTCCACGTTGCTAACCTGGCTAGGCTGAGTCCAAACTTTGTCTTCAGCTTTCGATCTGTCCATACTGGCCAACAATAAGGAGGCATAAAGGAAGCTGTTGCTGTAAACAGACGTGGTTGTCAAAACAGCCGAAGTTTTCAGTTGAAGGGGTTGCACCTCACCTTTAACACTGAAAGTGTAGGCCCATGTTTACCTCTCCTGTCGCCCTGTGGGCCTTCTAGAAGCTGTGCATTCTCATGGGCCACTCCCCTTCCAGGAGCTGGTTCTGTCGGTTTTACAATGCATTAAGGTCATTTGGCACAAAGGGCCATGTAAACAACGAATGGCGTGAAATGCCAATATGAATATTCTAGAGCGATCATTTATTTATTTGGCCTGGATTTTGTTTCCCTGTCATTTTATGACAGTGAATTTAATAGTTCACAAAAGTCTTATGATATTACATGAGTTCATATTTAGAAAATATACATTTTAGTGAAGAGCACTAAATTCTTTCTAAATTGTTAGATATTCTACCTACCAGTGTCCACGTACTAAGAAACCATTATGGCCTTTGCCAGGCTAGCGTAGGGGCACACTGTCCAATGACATCTGCGAAGGCAGATCGGTACAAATGGCAGCAGTATAAGGCTACAAAGATTGCCTCTGAGGTGATATGTTCACGTAAGTCCAGCTTATTTGGCCTTGACCTTAAAATTGGTCTACTTTAGTATGCACAAAAATGTTGTATCATTTATTCTGTAGCAATGTAAGCCTTTCGTGCATTATCATTTATCCTCTCTCTCAGTTTTAAAGTTGAATGTTTAAGGGTATTTTTAAACTCTTTGATATCAGAAAAAAAGAAGCCAAAGCTGGACTGTCTCAGGA